TCTGGCTCAGCCACTGACTAGCCAGGTGACTTTGGGCAAGTCACTTAACCAATTTTGGTCTCAGTTTGCTCATCTGTAAAGTGGGGATTATAATGGCCCAGACCTCATGGGCTTGTTGTAATGCTTGGTAACCTGGTCCACTGTCAGAGCTGAAACAATATTGACTGTTACCTTTCTATTATGTGAAGGTGTATTTGAGGTAATTCTAAGTAGCTGGGAGGCTTTGGCTTAGAATCTAATGTCTTGAAGTCTAAATTCCATCATTTTATGATGGTGCAAGACTGTAAGCAAGTCACTGGGCCCCCTGTTGTTCATCTGTAATTCCTCAGTTGCCAGCCTCCACTGGGTTGTTATGATGTATATGAAAGCATGTCGTAAATGTCAAAACATCACTCAAATGTAGAACACCATTTTAATAGCTGGGGAAAAAAAAGAGAGTAGTTTACTCCTCTTTCAGTTTCTTATCTGTTGGAGCAGGAACTGGATGATCACATGTGAACATTCGTATGTGCTGAATATCAGGCCCCATGATGATCCTGGTGGTGAAATCCAAGCGAGGTCCAGTTCACACCTCTTCTGATAATAAGGACAATCCAACACTTTTCTTTATCAGACTCATCTAGAATGCCGTTCAGAGTCCACTGAAAATCAGACACAAAAGGAATAGCAGAGAGAGACACTTTGTTAAATACCATGGCCCAGCTCTGACATTTTTAGGCCTAGATTATATGGGCCAGCTCTTTGTATTAAGTATATTGTGAAAAAAAAAAAAAGTAATGTTATTGCAATGGTCTGCTAAGATCTTATCTCTTAATGTCCTCAAAGCAAAGGCAAAGTGTATTGACTGCGGAGAGAATGTAATACTCTTGGCTCCAAATCATTTGGACAGTCTATCAGCTGGATGCTTGTAACTACATCTAACAAATTCTAATTCAGACTGGCTCGAACATTAAGGACAATTTACTGGCTCCTATTTCCTGAAGTCTTGAGTTAAGGGCTTTATTCAAGGACTATCTGTAAGGCTTTATCCTCAGACTGGCAGTGAAATGGTTATGGTAGTTTCAATCCTCATGTTTTCATGGGACACCCTCCAGAGGCAGAGAGAAACTACCTCTAACTCAGCATTCCCAGCAAAAGTCCTGCAGCCATTCTTTTTTTTTTTTTTATTCTTATGTTAATCCCCATACATTACATCATTAGTTTTAGATGAAGTGTTCCGTGATTCATTGTCTGTGCATAACACCCAGTGCTCCATGCAGAATGTGCCCTCCTCAATACCCACCACCAGGCTAACCCATCCTCCCACCCCCCTCCCCTCTAGAACCCTGTTTGTTTTTCAGAGTCCATCGTCTCTCATGGTTCGTCTACCCCTCCGATTTCCCCCGCTTCATTCTTCCCCTCCCGCTACCTTCTTCTTCTTTTTTTTTTTCTTAACATATATTGCATTATTTGTTTCAGAGGTACAGATCTGAGATTCAACAGTCTTGCACAATTCACAGCGCTTACCAGAGCACATACCCTCCCCAGTGTCTATCACCCAGTCACCCCATCCCTCCCACCCCACCCCCCACTCCAGCAACCCTCAGTTTGTTTCCTGCGATTAAGAATTCCTCATATCAGTGAGATCATGATACATGTCTTTCTCTGTTTGACTTATTTCACTCAACATAATACCCTCCAGTTCCATCTACGTCGTTGCAAATGGCAAGATCTCATTCCTTTTGATGCCTGCAGCCATTCTGATCAGACCTAAGTCACAGGCCCGCCCCTGAACCCGTGACTGTGGTCAGTGGGAGGGAATGCACCTGTTAGCTTAAAGTGAGCAGAACCTGACCCTGGGACTCAGCATGGAATCAGCTTCCTGCCATGTGGTGGTCGGCATGGGAGAAGGGTCAATGCCTAAAAATCAGGGGTCTCTTGAGAGGGAGGGTGGGGAATACAGAGGGGAAATGGCTGCTAGGAAGATAACCCACAATACCCACACTAGATGTTTTGTCTGGGTCATTGGTTCTCAAATTGTGTTCTGGGGACCCCTGGATGTCCCTGAGATCAGTATGGATCAGTACTTTTTCTCTTTTTATTGCTGAATACTATTTCATTGTGTGGATAGATCACATTTTATCAGTTCATGAAAATTTGGGTTGTTTCCACTTTTTGGCTGTTATGAATAACGTTGCAGTGAACATTCCTGTACAAATTTCTGTGTGGACACAGATGTCGTTTGGGTGTCTAGCTGGGAGTGAAATTACTGGATCTGGGTTTAACCTTTGGAGGACCGCTGAACTGTTTTCCAGAGTGGCTGCCCCATTTTACATCCCCATCAGCAGTGTGTAAGGGTTTCGATTTCTGCACATCCTTGCCAACGCTTGTTATTATTTGTCTGATTATAACCATCTCAGTGGGTGTGAAGTGGTATCTTATTGTGATTTTGATTTGCATTTCCTTGGTGCCTAGTGATGTTGAGCATCTTTATTTGTGCCAGTGGGCCATATGTGTCTCTTTTTTGGAGAACTGTCTATTTGGATCCTTTGCCCTGTTTTAAATTGGATTGTCTTTTTGTTATTGAGTTATAAGAGTTCTTTATATATTCTGGATACAATACATGACCTGTAAATATTTTCCTATTCTGTGGGCTTTTTACTTTCTTGATGGTGTCAGAAGTTTTAAAATTTTGATGAAATTCAACTTCTTTTCTCTTTTGTTGCTTGCGTTTTTGATGTCATAGCTCAGAAACTATTGCATAATCGAAGGTCATGAAGACTTATGCCTGTTTTCTTTTAACATTAACATTTCTTTTACATTTAGGTCTTTGATTCATTATTGTATTAATACGTCATTTATATACCACAAAATTTACCATTTTAAGGTGTACATTTCAGTGGATTTTAGTATATTCAAAAGGTTGTACAATGATGACTACTCTCTATTTCCAGGAGACTGTTGTCATCCCCCAAATAAGCCTGTACCCATTAACAGCCCAAGGGTGTTTGGTTCCAGTTCCACTGTATGGAGAGGGGGTTCCCCCCATGCATCTGACAATCCTCTGACACCACCTATGCCTACAATTCAACTCCATTTTAACATTGTCTACCTGGAGATAGCATCACATCCCACAGGCTCAGTCCCACAAGACTGCGCCCACTTGAGAGGCCAGTCACGAGGCCAGGTTGTCACATCTAGGCTTCTGACTGACTAGGTGTAGATCGGAGGTTCCCACGCCGTCCTCCTTGAGTTTGATTAATTTGCTGGAGTGGCTCCCAGAACTCAGAGAAACCTTCTACTTACGAGATCACCAGCTTATTATAAAAGGATGTAACTCAGGGAACAGCCAGATGGAAGAGCTGCATAGGGCAAAGTGGGGCGAAAGGAGGATGCAGCTTCCATGCTCTCTCCAGGAGTACCGATCTCCCAGCACCTCTGTGTATTCGCCAGAGCTCTCAACCCAGAAGCTCTCCAAATCCTGTCCTTTCTGGTTTTTACGGAGGCTTCATGACCCAGGCGCAATTGATTAAATCATTGGCCATTGGTGGTTGAACTCAATTTCCAGCTCCTCTCCCCTCCCTGGAGGTTGGGGCGATGGGACTGAAAGTTCCAACCCTCTAATCACATGGTGGGTTCTCCTGGCAACCAGCCCCAGTCCGCAGGGGATTTCCAAAAGTCACGTCATTAACGTAACAAAAGACATTTATTGCTCACCTCACTTAAGACATTGCAAGGGTTTTACGAGCTGTGTGCTAGAAATGAGGACAAAGACAAAATATATATTTCTTATTATAATTCACAGTAGCGCACAGCTACTCCTCATCTTTGATCCATTTTGAGTTAACTTTTGTATGGGATGTAAAGTAGGGGGTCCAACTTTATTCTTTTGCATGTGAATATTCAGCTGTCCCAGCACCATTGTTTGAAACAATGATTTTCTTCCCCGTGGTATTGTCTTGTCATCCTTTTTGAGATGTTTGCTTTTCCACTCTTGTTCTCTCACAAGTGTGTGGTAGAGTTTTCCAGAGGCTGTATGATATGGGATATAGAAGAGCATTAAATGCAGAAGCGGATGTGAGAATCCACCTGTCTTCTTTTGAACCAGACATTAAAGATATTTGCAAAAATGTAAAACAGTGCTACTTTTCTCATTCAATCAGTTATTAGTTTGCAAATACAGGTTATTTTTAATAAAATACGCAAATTTTGTTAATGTGCAGTGGGTTTATTATCTTTACACGAATCAAAAAATGGAATATTCAAAAGAATTCTCAGGAAATTGATATAGCCAACCCAAATAAAAATTCTGTAGATCCTCCGGAGTGTAAGGGAGTTTTGAGGCCAATAAGCTTAAGAATTGTAGGGTTAGGTGACTGTCAATTTACTGAATGTCTTGAAATATATATATATATATATATATATAAAAGAACCAAATAAAACAAAATAGAACTCCCAATGTGTCTTGGGCCTCCAAGAGATGCCTGACAAGTTACAGGTATTTGAAATGATATCAACTAAATAAAAAACACTCAGTGTGTACATGGAAAATGTGTATATGTATATTTGGAATTCTAAATAGTAACCATGTACCTGTGTGTGTGTGTGTGTGTGTATGTGTGTTAGGAGGGAGCGACGTTGAGAGAAGGACAAGGCCTGGCTCCACTGTAGTAAGCATTTCTCGGTTGTCCTTGCTCTCCAGCTGGATCTTCATCTTTCACCTCTAACAATTAGATAAAGCCATGTCTTGAGACCCCTCTTTTGATTGTGGAAAATGTACAGTAACCATGCATTAAGAGTTTAAAATGTAAACTACTTGAATGCAGTCTGTTAGTCACTTGCATTCTTAAGTTGTTACTTCTTTTTCTAAGTAGGCATTTTGGGGAAACTTAAAGATTGCAGGAATGGAAATATCAGAACGGGTCCTGCAGAGAATCTAATACGAGATCCACGAGCGTGAATGATAGGCATTTGGTACATAGCCCTGTTTCCTCTTAGTTCCCACTTGGTGTGATAAAGGGTTCAAGTTGCTTCTTTGAAGTTGCAGAGAGCCAGACGTGGGGTCTAGAGACGGGGAAGAGTGGGATTATAGTCAGGAATCATTAGTGCAGGTTTTGCAACTGAGAGTTGAACTTAATTCAGACTCAGAGGAGTTGGTGTTCAGCTGTTCAGCTCTGGGGAGGGATGTGTAACTGCTTCTCAGTCTCTGACGTTCATGTGGATCTCCTGCGCTCTTGTTAAAACACAAATTCTGATCTAGGAGGTCTTGCGGTGGGCCCTGGAATTCAGCATTCTCACAGGATTCCGGACGCTGCTGCTGTTGCTGATGTGTGCACCACACTTGGAATGGTAAGGTGTTGGGGGAATTTTTCTGTCGCATAATAAAATTCTTAGTTTCCTTGAGTGTGGGGACTTTTGGGCCCTTATCTCCCTAGATAACCCTTCACCCGGCACCTTTCCGTCAGTAGGTCGTCAATGAATGTTTGAGTAAGTGAATGAATGAATAAATAAAGGAATCCATGCAGGTGTGTGTATCATGGAAGACTGAAATACTGACGAGACACTGATACCGGGGCTGATGTGATTCCTTTTGATTCCCAGCTGCAGCCAAATCACGAGATTGTTTTTCAAGCAGGATTTCCTTTGATGGCCAATCTGATGAAGTGTGGAACATCTGAGAGCATGTGGGGGCCCAGGGTTAATAAGAGACTTCGTGTCCCTCTGGGCCACACTTCCCACTCTGCTTTCCTGTATCCTGGGCTCTTGCGGAGGAACTCTGGCAACTTCTTGGCACAAACAGATCATTGTGTATAAGCCAGTAGTGCCTGGAAGCTCCCGGAGGCATAGGGGACCCAGCTGTCCTCACTTGCAGAAGGAACCCCAGGGGACAGTGACCCTGGAGGACAGTGGGAAATGCATTCGAGGTGTAACATAAGTTCTGGAGCTGTTTGTTTTGGTGACTTTCCCTGAAGATTCAGGAGGGAAAGGAGAGGATAACTTTAGAAAAAAAAAAAGAAAGGAAGTTTATTCTAAGAGGAAAGAACAATTGTATAGACCAAGGAGTTATTTTTTTCCAAAAGTGAATTAGGGAAGTTTTTTGAAATAACATCAATCTTATTCGATAAGAATTTCAAAAATATCTTCTATATGCCAAGTACAGAGCTGGGAATTAGAAATGAAAAGAAAAAATAATCAGCCATCAGGAAGCTTCCAGTCATTTGGGAGAAGAGAGACAAGATAGTGGTACAAGGACAAAATGACAGCAGTAGGGACAGGTATGGGGACGTTGAGGACCAAGAGGAGGCATCTGTGTCAGACTGGGGCATCAATAAGTATGTCTGGTATAGGTGAACTTGATTAATAATTAAAGGACAAGTGGAAATCAATTCTTTAAAGGAGGAGAAAAAGGCATTTAGGCATTTCAAGTCAGGTGAGCCTTTGCTTGATATAAAACCCTGAGCATGAAACAGCATGATCAGATACGGAAATGAAGGAAGGGAGGATCTGGGATTAAGTCCCAAGAGGTTGGTTTCCGTAACAAAAGTAATGGCCATGTCCCGCCCCTCCCCCCCCACCCCGGCCTTCCCCACCCCAGGAGACACAGAACTGGCCACAAAATTTTTGGGGCCCAGTGCAAAGTGAAAATATGGAACCCTTTGTTCAAAAATTAAGAATTTCAAGAATGTAGCAGTAGACTTTTAAACCAAGTGCAGGGCCCTTCTAAGCATGGGCCATTCACCCATGCAGCTGGCCCTGAGAAGATCGAATAAAGGAGAAGCAGGTTGAGGGAGGAGATGATGTATTTCATTTTGGGCTCTTAACTTTGAGGAGCCTGTATGGTGCCTGAGTGGAGGATTCCCAAGTCAGCAGAGAGGTCTGGCATGGAGACACTGATAAGGGGATCCTTAGTGTTCATGCAAAGAAGCCATGTGGGTGTGTGAATGAAACCATCAGGATGGGTCTTTTTTTGTCTGTCTTTCTGCTTGGGGCATTCTTGTAGATCAAACCAATGGATTCTGAGCTCTGGAATTCTTCCCAAGAGTATTTGATCATTTTTCCTTTGTAAGGCAACTTTGACCAGAGTAGGATCTTCTCCATTTTCTTCTGCAAATAGGCCAGACAAATCAGAGTTACCAGTGGAAAAGCATTTTTCTGCACTTCATCCTCATTTCCTTGCTTGGCCTATCAAATGAAACAAGTCCTCTCTCAGCAGGAAGGTTCTAAGTTATAAAACATAGGGTTTGCGCTCAAGGGAAGTCATCCTTTGAGACAGTGCCATGAACATTAAATAGATAATACATTTTAAAATCTTTTCAACTTGGTACAAAATTAAACATGTCGTATGAGGAGGAGCTTTGCAAGTTATGCTGTAATAATTTAAATTTATTCAATATTAATTTATATCTCAGATAGCGCCTGTAGCACATTTTGTTTTCTACTTAGTTCCCAGGGGATTATTGTGAATTTTAATTAAAGTGAATTCAAGTTGTGTAAAATTACTCCAAGAAATAATCTGAGTAATGTAATGACCTGGATCTTAGGTGTACAATAGAGTTTTTGTCTGAATATATATCTCTGTATAATGCTAAGGTTTGAAGTATGATTATTCTGTAGCAGGGGAAAGCAATTAGCATGTTAACAGATTAGCGTTTGGCTTACTATCTCTCCCCTTAGAGGTGTAATTTGTTGCTTTAAGACATGAGGGCTTGCTGGTAAACAATGGTCTGGAAAGGATTGACTGCACCAGGGTCTTGACACACAAACTGAAAATTCAAACACAGTATCATTTACTAATGGATTGGTAATAAAAATAAGCAGTCTTAAACTATCAGTAACTAATTAGACTTATTAATAGAAGAAAGGACAAAAACCTAATCAATAAGTTGGCTAATGATTCCTCCTTGACATTACTAGCTGATGTTATTTTTTTGGGCTGGTCTGTGTACATATTGTTGCTCATTGTTCTGAAAATAATGCTCATCCTTGTGATCTGAGCTGTATCTGTATGTAGGTGTTGTCTGCAATGGTGTGATGGTGTTGGGTATTTATTGTTCTTTGTTTATTAGCATCCTTTCCCTTCCCTCCTATGCCTCTTGATATCCTTGAGTGGTATGTTAATAATGTGCATTAGCTAGTTGATTAAATTGAGATCCAGAGAGGTGATGTGATTTGCCTAAGGTCACATACTTAGCAAAATTAGGATAAGGTCTGGTGCCTTGAATTTTAAGTTTGCCCCTACTATACTAAATACTATTATTTTGTTTTTGAATCTTCTTTGTTAGTCTAAATGATGTGATTCTTTTACACTGGAAACTTTCTTTTCTTTTTTTTTTTAAGATTTTATTTATTTATTTGAGAGAGAGGGAGCATGGGAGTGAGGAGAGGGGCAGAGGGGGAGGGAGAGAATCTCAAGCGGACTCTGCCTGAGCAGAGCCCACCATGGGATTCGATCTCACGACCCTGAGATCATGACCTGAGCCCAAATCAAGATCCACTGCTCAACTGACAGAGCCACCCAGATGCCCCTCACTGGCAACTTTTCTAATAAGCAAAGGAAAAAACCATACACCGACCACATTTCTGCATGAAGAAAGCATATTGACATTTTAGAACTGTCATCCAAGGACACAATTTTAGTTTTTCTCCACTTTCTTTTAGTCAACGTGTGGTTCACTGTATATCCACATGAAAATTGTGATCAACTTATCGTGTATTTATGAATATATTGCCATGTAACATAACTAGATCATTGAAAGATACCTTCCCTTTCTCTTCACATGTTTGGCTTGGTATAGACATTGCTTGTAGTTTGAAATTTCAAATTAACTCCTAAAAATTGAAAGGAAAAAAGAAACATGGAATGATGATGTCAATAGAATTTTCTTTCTGTCCTTTATGGTAATTTACTTTGTAGTTTTTTTTTTTTTTTTAAGATTTTTATTTATTTATTTGACAGAGAGAGACACACGAGAGAGGGAACACAAGCAGGGGGAGTGGGAGAGGGAGAAGCAGGCTTCCCGCGGAGCAGGGAGCCCAATGCGGGGCTCGATCCCAGGACCCTGGGATCATGACCTGAGTCGAAGGCAGACACTTAACCGACTGAGCCACCCAAGTGCCCCTCCCTTGTAGTTTTGAGATTGACTTTGGAAGTTGAGATTTTAGCAATCTCAGACCGTGGTATTTAGAGGACTTCTGGAAACATATGAAAACAAAGTGTTTATTAGTTAAGCAAGAGCACATCCTTGTCAGGCTCTCTTTGTTTTGAAAGCCGAGGCAGAATAAAAGCTCTAGAGTCAGGGGTGGAAAAAACACTCCATACCACCTGGAGCCCTGTCAAGGATAACTTCGCCTCTTGTGTTCCCAAACCTCAAGGGAGCTGTACTTCTGCCGAGGGGCATCATGGCACGGGGGATGGAAGGGGCACCTTGAATAGCACCTTTTGTCTCCAGGTTAGGAGACATCGTTTCTCCCCCAGGTGTAGGTGGCACCTTCTTGGTTCAGTGCTGATTAAAAGGAAAAAAAAGGAGGAAAAGTTGTGCGGTGATTCAAGGGCAGCCGTGAGGTCTGGGTTTGCAGCGCCAGCAGCAGTGCGGTAATTTGAGAAGAGCAAATTAGAAGAACAAAGCAGATTTTAATCATATGCCACAGAGAGGAAGGTGGTTTAGGTTTATCTCCAAATTGTACCTCCATTAGAGAAAGGGAGGCTTTTAATGCTATTATCCAATATTTATTGTTAAAGATTTCTTTCTTCTTTCTCCCCAGTCTTTCTTTAGTACACTCACTGGGTGGGGAATGTCAGCCTTTGTATCGAGTGGTTGCTAAATAACAAAACTTTTTTTTTTTTGGTGTTACAGGAAATACAGAGAGAGAGAGAGGGAGAGACAAGGAGAGACAGAGAGAGACAGAGAGAGAGAGGGAGAGAGGGAGAGAGAGCAGTTGTGGGAGAGATAACTGATTTTGAGATTCAATTCCTTAGTGAATTCCTTCACTTAGTGAAGGAATTTTAAAATTCCTTTTTATATGTCACTGGGGGTGGTGATGGGTTCCATGACCTTCAGTGAGCCCAGTGATGAAGCAAGTCTTTCTTAATTAGAGATCAGGAAACTGACAGACCTTCCCAAGGCAACTCATCCCATTAACTTGTTAGGGTAGTCCTGAGCCCAGCCAGGGAGGGCCTGATGGGAATGGTTGTGGGGGCTCCAGGAAGTGAGTGTGGAACAGAAATGAAATCGTTTGAAAAAGACCTCCTTATGCCCTTTAGACAAGCACTGTCCGGTAGAGCTTTTGTGATGCTGGAACTGTTTTATAAATATGCCGTCCAACTTGGTAGCCACTAGCCTATTGTGGCT